TAGAAATTTGTCGTAAGTAACTTCAACGCGAAAATCGGGATGTCGGAAGAAGGGGAGCATAGGATCGGGACATTTGGATCAGGGGTCCGGATTGAGATTAGTAACCGTCTTGTTCTGCTCTTAGCCGTCGCACGACATTTTCATGGCAACTCCATCTTTATGAAGAAAGAACTCCGGCAGTGGACATGGGAGTCACCCAGCGGTACGACTGATGCGGAGATCGACCACATTCTTACCAACCAATAATCGTGCTTACTAGACGTCGCAGTGGTACCATCCTTCAGCAGTGGTACAGATCGCCGCTTCCTTAGAGCAAAAGTGCGATTCCGCCAGAAAAAAAAAGATCTTTCACTGTGTTGGAGGAAGGAGAGCAGTCGCATATGACGGCGTCAGATTGAAGGCGCTCCTGACCGCTTTTGACCGGCCCATCAAGGAGGACCCAACAAAGTACTACGACCTGCTTCTCAGAGGACTGAGAGCCTTTAGTGAAAGTGCCTGCCTCGAACTAGGAGCTTGGAACGAATTTCGAAAGCCACCTAGGGTTTCTGGAGAGAAGAAGAGCACTGAGGCTGGATCCAACTGCATCACATGAGCGACTGGAAACCAAACAGTTGCGGAAGAGCTTTGTAAGAAGATCTTCGAAGGCTATCGAAACTTTTGGAAGCAGCTCTAGGAAGGAGAATCTAAAGATGTACCGCAGCGACCTCGTCTCCCCTGTTCCGCTGACAACATTACTAAACAAAAATGGGACTTGCCCATCTTCCCATTAGATGGAATCGTTCGCCAAAAGTTTCTACACCACTCTCTTTTGCTCGTCAACACCCGTGTCCCGTTATCTTCGCTGAAGAATTACCACCAAGGATTCCACCTGCTGAATTACGCGCTGCAATCCAGACCATGAAGGCAGTATGGCTCCGGGACCAGACTACGTTTCTGCCGATCCCTTGCGAGCTGGAAGACGTCGTCTTCACTAAAGTCGAGAAACATTTAATGTTTTGCCTTCAAAAGAAGGATCCCCGACCACTGGAGAACCTCCCGAACAATCCTTTCATAAGGGCGATAAGGGGTCTTTGGAACTACTGTCCAATATACCTGTTCAATATGCTTGCTGAGCGTGCTTTACAAGCTCTTCACAAAGATTATTCTCGATCGCATATCAAGAACACTGGATGTGGCCCAATCTGTAGAACAAGTTGGCATTTCGCAAGGGATTTAACTGCGTGGATCTCCAGAAATTCGAGGATTATCGAGGTTTGCCGAGACTACCACCTACCTCTCGTCCTAACCTTCGTCGATTATGAGAAAACTTGATAGCGTCAGACTAATGCTATACTATCAGCGCTCGCCCGGGTGGACCCATCTTATGTAAGGACATTGGCCGGCTGCTACAAGAACTGCTACAACAGCACAGCTTTTCCATGGCCCTTTCAATTCTAGTTTCGAAGGGGGTTCGACAAGGCCACAGCTTGCCGCCAAAACTGTTTACCGCTGCCCTGCAACGAGTGATGAAATCACTTGGGAGAGTTCATGAAAGATATCTCGAACCTTACTGTTGTAGACGACATTGTTCTCTTTTCAAGGAAT